CTATGTAAGCGGAGAATCAGTCAAAAAATATTTTATGTTCTACATACATTCCGCTGTACATTTCATTTTTGACATTTGCTTATGTCTCATTTCTTCGAACGACTTTTTGCCAAATCTAGAAATTGCTGCTATTACACGAGCAGTTACGTAAACAGTTAAAGTAAGTGATGAGTAAACAATTGAAAATTCGGAATTTATATTCAGAGCCATTGGAACCATTGAATATTGTCTATCAGGGCTCCGAAACAATTAATCAACGTACAAACATACGAATTATATGATATTCGTCATAGCTATACTCGTAATCCGTCATATTTTTCACCGGGTAAAGGCGACATTCCCTTTTTGTTGCTTTAAAGACGCCGACTTCTTCGTATTCAATGCAAGCGATTGTGGTGCAACATACCGGAGCCTATACAACAACACAGGAAAATATGTGTACTTTTATATGTAAAATAAATAAAATAAAATATATAAATTTGAATTTTAAAATATGTACATATATATATATTGTTGCGAAAATGCGAGGCGAATGTCAGATGAAAGAGAGAAGCCGATAACTAGTACGTTCTAGAAACGATAAAACAAGAACCTTCCATAGCGAACAATTCGATGCTTCTACGCTTTCGTCTGCGAGCAGCCGACTGCTATATAAAGGCGACACTCAGCTGCAAGTCAAGCAGTGACAAAGCAAATTGGTTGGCGTTAACATCAGTGAAGACGTAAAGTGAACGCGTTGGGAATTACATTTAAGTAGAGTAAATTGTGAAAGTTGATGTTAGTGATTATAAATAGTAAAGTGCAGTATAATTGAATTGTGAATTACTGAGAAAATAAAGGACATTAGATAAAATCTTTATAACGAAAGAAACTGCAAATTAAGTTGGCGAGTTTTTATTTAACAATCCAGAGATCGTACCCGAAGGATCTAGAAAATAATCGAGGTTGCTTTAGTAAAATCGTAACAATATATATATATTAAGAATAAAATATTTTAAGTGCACATTTAACATGTAATTATATACATACACACATATGCTCAAACGTTCACAGTTTATGAATTCCGCTTTATGCGTATTCCCTTTGCTTGCACAAGGAAAAACATTTTTAAACATGAATTTATATGAACATGCATTTACATACACAAACTTTAAAGAAAACTGCTTAGGATAATAATATTATTTTATTAAATAACATTATGCCTACGCGCAGAATTGTATAAAAGGCGAGAAAAATTCAAGAAAGGTTAAGTCGTCCTGAGGGTTTTCACTTCACTGGAAAAGAAGCTAGTAGAAGGTTTTCACCTCCACAGCTCATACTAAGAAAGTAGTTATTGTTGAGAAAAGTATTAGAGACTTTGGAGAAGTTATGTATACATACGATTTTATAATACTAAAAAATTAAAATAAATTTGTTGTAGGGAAAATTGCGTGTCGTTATTTTAGGACAGCCATGCCAAGGCTGAGCTTACCCAGACAAGTGTAATGCTACATCTACTCAACTCACGTACCTTCCATTCATTGCAACCTATCTTATGACAGCGCCATGCAAACACAAAGTTGTCACCGCTTGCCCATGCCCTTAGTGACGGTTGTCCCGCAGAAACCAACGGCGATTTGATTTCTTCCGTAAAACCGGTTAGGCGCATTACTCGTTGCTATCCAAGGTTGCCAGTATAGGCTTTTTCAAAATAATATTAAACAACCGAAGGTAATGCGTAGTTTTTTTCAAAAGAAATGAAAACTTAATTCGCAACTAATCATTGGTTACCATATAGATCATGCATATCTGATTTTCGCGTTGACGAAAATTATAAATATGTCCAAAAGTATGCAAATGCACTAGCAGATAATTCGAGTATGTATCTCGCTCTTTCAGTCGGCTGTTATGGACGGATGGTAAATAAAATCGGTAGATGCAGCATAAAAGTCCGTTACAGCATACAACAAGAAAGCCTTTTATCTCCAGAGTTTATTAGACATACCAGCGAATTGGTGGAAATGAATTCTATGTCCCATAGTACTATAAGGAAATAAAAACAATTGGAAAACAGTTAGTGCTTTTACTTCAGCCATAATTTCTAATATGTGCTTTAGCGTCCATTCTGAAACTATATTTTTTAAGTTTGCGTTGCCCTTCTAGTTATTATGTAATTCTTAATTTTTATTAGAGTTGGTTGCGGTCTGTATTTGAATTTAGTCGGCCGTTTTGCTTAATATTAAATGATGCACTGTGAGGAGCATATTTAGAAATCCTGTACAAGTATGAGTCAAATCGGGTAATGATGACGCGATCATTTTGCGTATATATATCAACACATTTGGTACAATAGGCTTTCTCGATAGCCTCTCCAGAAATGGCATGGCTTAGCTTTCACAATACTCTTACGCAATGTCGGAAATCACCAGCGTGATATTCTTCGATCATTTGCGCAATATTGGCTCTTTCCAGGAAGTATCCACCAGAATGCATGAAAAATTATTAATGGAATATCTTTTTGTCCCAAATTTATTTACTTAATAGTTAATGGAATACAACCGTTTTGGCTTAACCATTGAAGATGACCAACTTTCTGGAGAGTAATCTTCTTGTTAATCTTAGCAAAAAGGCTCCTTTGTACCAAATTTCAATAGTGGCTCGCTTCCCGAAAATTTTTTTCCGTAAGTCCAGTCGCAGATATCATAAAAGCAATCCGTCGAAATTTCAAGTTATTTGGCCGTTAACTTATTGCGAGCACCCGATTCAGGGGAACGTAAGGTTTTTTTCGAATATGCCAGTCTGAGGTGAGAACCCTCAGTGGAATATAAATATGTGTTCGTGAAAGCCCACAGGGGCACTACGTTTGCTGGTGGTGTTGATCCCACTGGCAGGTATACCCTCAGCGAAAAGGAAAGAATCTTCCTTTGAGTCAGGGAACGGAACTCTCCTACCGTGTCCTATTAATTTTTATATGGACTCAACTCTTAAACGTTAAGAGTCCCTTTGTCTTTGCCTAAGTCTTCTGTCTGTGTGTATGTCCACGGTGACACTCTCTTCCTAACATACATACCTCGGAGCTTACTCCGTCAGCATGCAATTCTTTCTCCAAACTTACTCTCCAGGCATGTATTGTACATCTCGACGCCAGAGATTGTACTGCCTCACGAGCTTCTCGCCCGCTTGCTCTAACCAAGCTTTGACGTTTGCATTCATCTCTTAGAGCATCCTTGATAACTATCTTTCTCGATACATTTGTTCAAAACCCTAAAGTCCATACAAAACATATATGTAACGCCTTTCTTCCGGATCATAATTAATGGAGACGCCCGAGTACTACGTGATTTCTTTACCACCCCTTTGTCGAGCATATCCTTAATCTTTTCGTCATACCTTTGCTTCAGAGTTTCAACTCATGCCTTTACCGTGATCTCATGCTCGACCAAATGGGTCCTTCTAGCCCTTAACTGAAAAGTCGAGTTTGGGTCACACCTCGCCTCGCCCAACTCCTCGAAGCGTTCTAAAAACCCTTAATACGATATCCCGCTTTCTCACCATCGAAGTGGACGCCCCACTTCGACAAGTTCAATGGCTTTTGATAATCGGCTGTCTCTTCAACTAGCTCTTCGGCTTCTTAGCTGCCCAATACTTCTTGTAGTTCGGAGAGATGTTGCAACAACTTGCTCTTCAGCTCCATCTGCTGACTCATTTCACCGACGCTCATTTCGCGCCCGTCCGATACGCATAGGCACCATTTGATTTTCGCCTTCGGTTTCGCTCCATGGAATGGCTTTCCTCCACTTGAAACCGATAAAATTAATTTTTCTATCTCCTCCAATTTCAACGAGGATATGACGGAAATCGAGGGATAATCCTGAAAGATTAATAAACGCGACACCCGAACCGATTTCTTCATAGCTTCGACTGTACCAAATGGAAAGCCGCGTGCCACCATCTCGTACGCGAACTCGTCTTGGGACAACCGATTTATTTCCATAGTTAAATAAAAAACGTAGTTTCGAAGAGCAAAAAAAAAAATTACGGCTAAAGAAAAATATTTATTTCAAAAAAGTTTAATTATATTCAAAAATAATAAAAAAGTTATTACCCTTGTTATATACTGGCACAACAAAAGGCCCTAGAACGAAAACAACAAAAGAGCCTAACCGCAAGAAACAAAAATTTAATAAAACAAGAACACATTGTCTACGTAGACAAAACCTCTCTTAAATACTTAAATTTCAAATATAATTACAAAAAAGTTGTCAATATGAAATAATAATAATTAAAAATATTCGCAACAATAATCTTTAATCAAAAAAAAAATTAAAAGTTAAAGTCGGTAGGCCACCTATTTGTTACTTTTGGACCAGTCTCTATCCTTTGACTAAAAATTTTTTTATACAATATACCCCAAAAACCAAAAAATATATTTTAAAAATTTGCAAAACGGAACGGAATCACCGCATTTCCTTTTACAAAGCAAAGCACATCCGGGTCTGTGTTCGAACTCCAATATTTTCTTATGCCTTCCACTCTTGGAACGGCCTACTCATACATAATATTAAAAAAAAGCAAATTATTAAATAAAAACAAAAAAAAAAAAAAAACAAACAGCACAAAACGCAACTCGAAATATGCTGGGAAATAACCGCAAACTATACGAAAATAAATATGGACGCCAATTTGTCACTTCCACTATTATCGTATGAACAGTGGCCGTTGGTCAAGCGCTTACCATTAACCACACACGTCAAAACAAACCATCGCACAAAAGGGAGAAGACAAATAAAATAAAAAATCGACCGGCGAGCAAAGTGAAGACGGCGTGGGTCGCTAGCTACGTACACTCACCAAATCCAAAGTAGAGAAAAACAACATTAAAGAAATTTACTAGCCCAATCAACAAAAAAAAAACTATAGGTAAACAACAAGTACGCAACTCAGAAAAAACAATATATTTTTGACCCACCCAAACTGGTTACGAACCCACTCCCACTACTCCCGTGCTGCCGGGCGTAACTTCAACCCGCCTGTATGACTGGGCTCTGGGTGCGGGTTGCTGTAAGGATGGGTGAGGATGAACGGAAGGAACGACACTGTCGGCACGAGAAGAGCGTACAAAACATTTAACAGAAAAATAATACGATACTTATGGTTCTCGGTCGGGTGTGTGTCCCGACTTCGGTGATCCTCCGGTGGTGCCGCCAAACTACGATTCTGCCACCGGAATGTGCAAAACCTATTTTTCCTTGGCCTCAACTGCCCTTACACAAGCCCCGACTGGCTTACAATTTTTTACATGGCCTCGGCTGGACCTAATACAAATATTTGCCTCGACACTACTGTATATTTATATTATATTTATTTTTTCTTTGCGATATATGCGCTATATATATATATACGCTCTCATAAAAAAAAGATGTTCTCGCTTTCGAAGATTGTAATCTTATCAACCCCTGGCTTCAAATAATGCAACTATTTGTCGTCCGGTGTTATTGCCAACGCTTGGAGTGAAAGGAATATTAGGCAAAACAAAGAAAATGAACAAAAAAACACAAGAGAAGTTCTTGGTGCGGTCAGTACGCGATTAATTTTCTTTAAATTTTCCTCGCCTTTTATACAATCCTGGGCGCAGGCAGAATGTTATTTAATGAAAACGACTTTTTACTCTAAACAGTTATTCTTAATGTAGCAACTACCCATTTATTTGCTATCTGTCAATAACAGGCGACGGCAAGACCGTGATACATACACAATTGTTGACGCTGATGACGGCGGCGGAATGTGTTTGCACACTTCAGAACAAATATATAATTTTCGTCAACAAACTTCATAATTTATGTGTTCGAATATAAACGCAAATCAAATATACACGATCTATATGGTAACCAATAATTAGTTCCGAACTCAATTTCGATTATTTAACATTACTTTAAAAAAGCCTTTACTGGCAACCTTGTACAAAAAGTGCTCTTCCAGGGTCCGGTTGAATCGCTCCACCATACTATCTGATTGAGGATGTAGGGCTGTCGTTCGGGTTTTTCGAATACCAAGTACCTGGCACATCTCCTGGAACACCGCCGATTCGAAGTTTCTTCCCTGATCTGAGTGCAATTCTATAGTCGCACCGTATCTGGTAGCCCAATTGTTAGTGAATGTATCTGCAACTGTTTTTGCTTCCTGATTTGGGTAAATTTCAGGCCATTTACTGAAGTAGTCCATAACCACAATAACGTATTTGTTTCATTGTTTGCTCATAGGGAATAGACCGGCTACATCCATGGCAACCCGCTCAAATGGTACCCCTGCGTTATACTGCTTCATCTGCCCATGACTTCGGGACTTTGGGCCTTTAGCTGCTATGCACTCCGTGCAATTAGCAATCCACTCCCCGACCGATTGCCGACATCCAACCCAATAGAACCGCTGCTTGATCTTTTCCAGCGTTTTCGTAATGCCTAGGTGCCCTCCACTAGGACCGTTATGGAATTCCTTGGGAACATCCGGAATTCTTAACTTCGGAACTAGTATTAGCTTCCGGGAGCACTGGCCATCTTCATTTTCCTACACTCTATGCAAACAGCCGGATATCAGCTCTAAACTGTTCCATTGTACCCTGTATGTCTTCGCGATAGGACTTTCCGCAGCCATTTGTTCCTTACTTGGTCGTCTATTTACCTCCAACCCGTGCATTAATAATTCTAAGTCTGGATCTTCTTGGTGACATTTCCTTAAGTTACTTGCCTCCCACTCTTCTGCTACCGTAACTTTCATTTGCCGGACGTCTATTATGTCTTCTTTACCCTCAGCTTTTGAGCAATGTTTCCATTCCATATTACCTGGTCGACGGGACATAGCGTCAGCATTTCCGTGCGTATTCCCCTTGCGGAGCTCGATTGTGAAGTCATAACTTTGAGAAGTTGATGGTTCATCTTTCCCCGTCTTCCGTTTTCGCTGTACCTCTTGTATGCTGAAACTTGTTTTGCATTCGCGTACGAAGTGACCAGGCTATCCTCACTTAAACCATATTCCCGCTTGAGTCTTACAACCAGAACGATACAATCTTACTAGCGATTTCAGGGCTCTCAATATTTCCGTCATCATATCTGGTTTTCCAACCTCCACTTTATTGACTTGGTCTGCTTATGAGGGCCGCCGTTTCACGTGTTTGTTCATTCGCAACAGTTTCAGAGAATATCAGCATTGGATTCGCGTATGTCTCTCGCTTGGTGTACACGTCTTTTATTCCGCTAATGAACCTTTGTATCTTCACGCTTTCAAGATGCTCACCCGATGTGTCTCCAATGGCTAAATGAGCCAATCTCTCAACTTCCGAAGCGTATTCCCGCAGAGATTCGTTGTCTTCTGTGTTCGCTATCATAGCGTCTTTCCAGGGCTCGCATCAATCCGTCATTATCATTTCTCTCGTTTACGGATATGGTTTGCAAAAGTTCGGATGCAGGTCCTTCCAACGCAACGAATGGTGCAGCAGATTTTTCCTCTGTGCTCCACTTGTTTGTTTCAGATGTCCTCTCAAATTGGAGCTAAAAAGCTTGAAATGGGATTTTCCCGTCAAAAGATGGTGTTTTTATCTTCGGAGCGTTCACTGAAGCGGTTAGACGATTTAGCTGCAATTTTAGGAAGCGACTTTCCAATGCGTTGTGATACCTGCTCCCTCTGTTCAATCATTTGTAATGTAATGTTTGCATTGTATGCATCCATCTTTTGTGAGATGTTGGCTCTCATTTCAGACATGTTTTGTGAGATCGCAGTCAATAACATGTTCATATCAATACCATTAGATGAGGCAGAAGCCTTTTCTGGCTTCTTACTTGATGGTGATTCCAACTCCTTCACAGAATCATCAGCTTGTTCCTTGTCAGTGTCCTTCAAGGATACATCTTCATCCTCGCGATGGATTTCGTACTGGTTCAAGTCGATGCCTTCAACTTCCATTGCTTCTCGCAGTCTCGATTGCAGCTCTGCCTTATTTCCAGTTGTCGACAATCCTCGCTTTGCCAACTCCGTCTTGAGAGGAGGTATCATTAAATCCTGAATCTTTACCATCTTGCAAATATTATCCTTTGGGATTTATTCAACAATCCCACTTCTGACACCAATTGTTACGATTTTACTAAATCAACCTCGATGATTTTCTGAATCCTTCTGGTACGATCTCTGGATTGTTAAAAAAAAATCGCCAATCTAATTTGCAGTTTCTTTTGTTATAAAGAAGTTATCTAATGTCCTTTATTTACTCAGTAATTCAGAATTCAATTACAAGGCACTTTACTAGCTACAATCACTAGCATCAACTTTCACAATTTACTCTACTTAAATATAATTCCCAACGCGTTCACTTTACGACTTAACTGATGTTAACACCAACGAGCTCACTTTGTAACTAACTTGACTTGCAGCTGAGTGTCGCCCTTATATAGCAGTCGGCAGCTCGCAGACGAAAGCGTAGAAGCATCGAATTGTTCGCTATGGAAGGTTCTTGTTTTATTGTTTCTAGAATGTACTAGTTATCGGCTTCTCTCTTTCATCTGACATTCGCCTCGCATTTTCGCAACAATATCATATTATGTAGATATGTATGTATTCATATTTGCATGTATATAACTTTTAAATTTGAAAATCTTTCAAGAATATCACTTTATTTTGATTGCGTTATTGTATGAACTTGAAACCCCAACGAGGTATTAGTATATCATCGATTGCTTGGTATTGACTCATTCCAATTTTGACCCTCTAGCCAAATTTTTTGCATTATTATTTTCACCACAATAATAACTGGCGATAGCCATCCAAGGTGGTCAAAAAGTTTCACAATGGCGGAAACTATGTAGATCTGTCCTGAGTTCCAATCGGATTAGTTATAAAATAGAAATAGGCGCAGTAGACATTCCATCTTATGTACTGCTTGCGTCTCCAAATTGAAAGAATTCTTCTTTTAACTATTTTACAATTCGATGTCCACGTTCTTAAAGACTGTTTATATAACCACCATTGGCTCTTCCCGCAGAATCGATGGTGTGCCCTTATAGCTAAGTAGGGAGCGCAGCTTATACCGAACGTCACTGTTATCAGCTCGTAAATACTAATGAACTCTTTTGGGCCGGATCGAAAAACTATTCCACAAACAATCGTCGCTCTCCCATTCGTAAGTGATCAAGTCCACAAGGACTTGAGGGTAAGTAAGGGGATGCCGGCTGTCGAGCGGGCCCACAGTGTAAATGAAAAAACACTTTTGTTCAATTTAAAGGTTGTTTCACAAAGTATTTTAATGAAAAATTCACTTTAATGTTACTTCACAACGTATTTTAACTAAACTATTAACTACTAAATTATTGAATATATATAAAATATAAGAGACCGCGGTTCAAAGCTGCCGTGCGCGAGCGAGGGTTGTTAGACTTAGAGAGTCTTTTCGTTAGCTCGAACGGCCGCCGCTAAGCGGTCGATCGGCTAACGAAATTTGGCCAAAAAGGATAGAGGAATTGGCGCGTGATGGGGCACACGGAAATAGTGGGAAGAGACGGGCAATTCCACGCGCACGGCAGTTACATTTATTTA